TATTGATATATATAAATATATCAATATAAAGCAATAAGTAGGTTACAAGAGTGCAAGACATTTTCATTCGATTCAGTTTCAGATTCAGCACCATCCACTTACAGATACTTTGCACCACTGACATCAGAAAAAAGGGCAAGCTGAGATACTGAAACCAATCAAAGGAAGGCAATACCATTCCACAGGTACATTCAATACCTTCAATTATGACCAAAGCATGTGATTTGGGCAGATTGCCACAGCACAACAACACTGAAAGCCCTGGGAAGACAGGCAGCCTCTCAGCCAAAAGGACCAAGCCTGGGGAGCACAGATCATGCAAGGCTTTGGCAGATAAGCTGCAGAAGATTGCAAAGACTAGATCCATATCACAATTTGTTAACATCTAAGAGTCTACTTGATGAGTTCCACTGGAAAAATATTTGTTGCAGTTTTTCCAGGCAGCTAGGTAAAATACTGAGGTTTGTCAAGCAAGAATTGCCTACTACTATTCATGTAACTCATAAGCACATGGTACTACACTCCTGCTGGTCTAAGTGCAATAGTAATAAACCTACTGAAACATGACCAACAAAAACAGTTCTCAATAAAATTCACATCTACTCCTTAAAATGAAGCCCTGAGCTCACCCAAAGTAAGCCAGCATATCCACATGATATCAGCTTGGGTTCCAGAAAAAGCAACACAGCTGCATTAGCCCTTATCAGAGCTAGCTAGGTCATGCATAACAGTCCACTGATATAACTTTGCAGCCCCTACTTCCAGAGCCAGCTATGTTACTGTTTCAAGGACCTCTGCCCCAAGCTCTATTTGCCAGTGCAATTCAAACTGATGCTGAAAAGTTATTTAAAATACATTTGGACTTTAATAAACTTGATTTACAGATATTATGTCGAAAAATTTCATTGCATCATTTCTTTCATTTTTTTCTCGTATACATAATGTTTAGCATTTGGAGACAATTGTCAGGTGAGATCCAAAACCCACTAAAGTCTTTGAAGTTTTAAAAAATATTAGAATATTAGATTAACAAATTTTCATCTGAAATATTTTCGTAAGTATAGATTCATGTAGTATATATTATATATTAATGAAGGTTGAAAAAATCTATACAGTTTCATTCTGAAAATGCTTTTGGCGTATTCTGATGAGCTATTAAAGTCCATCACTGGCAGTTTAGGCTAAGAATTTAGCCAAGGGAGTTGTATGAGCCGCAGCTCCTGACAAAAAGCAAGCAGCACTGAGAAACAAATTCTTCAGCTCCTCTGAACTCCTCATTCACTAGATCATCTCTGTCAACCTTGAAATTCACCCACATTTTCACCAGCAACTTGCATCAGAAATTCAACCAAGATCTACATTAAAGAAATGCCAAGATACACCTTTTATACTTGCTATAACACTCTCATCTACTCGTTTGGGGAATTTTTCTTACTGCTGTTTTTGTTTGTTTGTTTGGGGTGCCATTGCATTTCTCAAGACACGTTTGCTTATTAATACAAGAAACACGTCTCCATTCTACTGC